AAATTAATGCCATTCGCGTTGTTCTGAACGCTAAGACATATCTTGTTTATAATCTCTTTAGTAGTGTTGGCGGCGAAATGCAGGACATTATTGTTCTCGTTGTCCACGACGTCGAGTTTGGGCGACAGCGCCAACAGGGCCTGAATGGTGGCAATACGACCCGTCCGTACGGCGATATGCAATGGAGTCATTCCCGAATCGGGACACCGATTGTTGATTATCTCCTCGTCGGCGGCCGTCAGTTGCCTGAAGAACTCGTTGAGACCAAAATAGGCCGAAATGTGGGCCAAACTCTGGTTCAGGTGTTCTCTAACATAATTGGAGAATTCCTGTAGAAATTCATTGGTTATACTGTTTGGCGAAATCAGTAGTATTTGCGGTAATTTTTCACTAAAACTCTTGAAATATGTGTCCACTTCTGTCCGCACTTTACACCGAATTAGGCTATCATTTGTGGCAAAAAAAAACACAAAAAAAGTTAGAAAATGTGTTAAAACTATGTAATCTCAATCAATCCCATGACCTAATGGTATACTATTTATATCCATATACTGTAATCCCATAATCCGTAAGAAAATACCCAATTTATTCCCAAATTAATACCCAATTAAGTCTTCAAATAAATTCATTTTAAGCACTAATCCATTCATTTATACCCACAAAAAATCAATCAAAAAAAAAGTGACATATAAAACACATGTGTCACTAAAACAATGGCATAATTTAGTTTGAAAACTGTCTTAAATGTAAATAATTATTACATTTAATTTCCTATAAAATCACTCAAAAGTTATTAAAACACGCTTTATATAGAAATATAAATGAAAATTAAAAACCCGTTTTATGTGAAAACAAATAATTGCAACAATTAAATACATTTGTCATAAAACAATTAAATGCATTAAATCTAAGATTAAGTTATAAATTATAAAACAATTTAACTGAAAGAATATGTAAGAAATATATGATATTAATAAAGTTGAAGGCGGATCAACAAACTAGAACATTACTGTGCATTAAAATTTACCCCGGTAGTTATACAAATCACTTCCCAAATATGGTTATTTTATAAATAAACGGATTTCCTATACTATTACTGTTAAACCTAAACCTAATAACACATATGTTTCCCGGGTATTCGTGTCAAAAGATAATTGCAGGTGTTTTGAGTCACAGATATTCCTCTTGAGATGTCTTCTGTATTATGTCATTCTTGTGTCTAAAGACTAAATCCTAAAAAACACTTAATTCCGTTAAACAAAGACATTTCTCGAGAGATCTGATCTACGGTTAGATCTATGAGTGATAGTAGTGTCGGTATTATCAACACAAGTGTCAAAACAATGGCATCAAAACATGGGATCAATTGTAATGACAGACAGAAGGCGGGCGTCCAATACCTGTAAGCGGTTTTGCTTTGAAGGTCTTTGAAGACAACGATCTCGTAGTTGATCTCATTGTTGGCGATGTGATTGGCGTAACAAAACAGCGGATCCTCTCTGGCGATCACCTGATAGTGGACGTAGTCTTCGGGCTTCACTTCCACCACTTGAAACACGGGGTAATCGTTCACATTCTTCCGGAACAGATTCACCATACGGTCGAAGTAAGACATCTTCGGCCCTAATGATTGGTTCCGCTAATGGGATGGTATTGTCCGGTGATGTGTCTTGTAGTCGATGGACACACCAGTTGTCAAAGCAGTTCAATCACGTGTGGTATGAATCGAGGTATATATCAATGATAATCACTGCAAATGATGACACAAACAGCTGATCCCAGATGTCTGTATGAAATGTGGTAACAAATGTAAAAAGCGATGGTTAGAGTGGGATGTGTTGATCACCGCTAAGACATTGCATCACTTGATTGTATGTGTAATGCGTTTAAACGTGTAATACATTAATGTATTCACAATTAGATAACACTTTATATGTATTTCACACCAATTGTTATGTAATAATGAATATAACGTTAACTTAACTCTCGATTTCCACTATTGATCGCAAACTTTGAAAACACTGTAAACATAAACATTACAAAAACCCAACACTAAAACAGTTGTGATTGGGTTTATGCACACAAATATACATGAATGACGTTTAAACTTACCAGGATAATTGTTTTATTTGACCAAGGTGGTTTGGTTCCAATTGTTTTTATACCTAGCTGATTTTGTATTTTATTTTTGATAGTGTTTTTTTAAATAAAATTTTCAGTTTTTGTTGCGTTTAAATTGGTTTTATAGTCAGACCACTGTTTGGTCCTATGATTGCATACAATATACACTTTGCCCTTAATATAGACTTTAATCCAATGAATCAGTGATTAAATACACGATTAGTTTTAATAATAATCATTTTTATTCATTTTATAAATTAAATTTATTAAACATTTTAAACATTTATAAAACACTCATTTGTTTTGAATGAAACAACAATAAGAGAATATATTTCATATATAAATATATCTCTGAATACTTTTGATTATCGATTAATTCATTATTTTTGCAGATCATTAGCTCTCAGATCATATAGACTTTGGGATTGGGTTTCACACATTGAAAGTGCATTTTGATTATGATATTATACTTGATATGAAAATTGATTTTGACATTTAAATTGCATGATATGTCAGATAAAAATAGTGTATCGGCTTTCGGTTGCGATGCTATATTAGCGTCGATTGTCTCAGGTTTTCCTTAACAATGGTTTGTATGACTGATTGAAACACTTCCTTCACATTACTGGTGTCGGTGGCGGTTATGAAGTGCGAGAAGACCCGCTTGTTTTGGTTATACATCGTATCAAACCTATCGATATTTAGTCCGAAAACAATCATAATTAGTTTTCTGGTATTTTATGATATAATAGCAATTAATACTAATACAGTTGTATGTATTTAATTAGTGTTTTAAAACTTTTTGTCTGATATTTGGTAAAACAAATAAACTGTTTTTCAATGTTTGCTTTAAATATTGAATTTGCTCTAAATCTGTGCTCTAAATACTTTCACATCTCATAAAACAAACACATTATTCCCAAAAGTTTAGCCTTCGCTTTAGAAAAATATTAAATAAATAATTTTAAATTAAATTTTATTAATAGTAAATAATTAATAATAATGTTTAAAAACAGTACTAAACCTGTGCTGAATGAAAAGGGCGGCGGCGTCGCAGTCCCGGTCGGGGCCCCTATACTCGGGCACAAAATACCGGAGCTGTCGATCCGTAAACAGGATCTTCTCGCGAAACAGATCCAGTTTATTAAGAAACAATAGCTGAAGGTAAACATACAACAAATTAAAAGTCAATTAACTTTATATACCCCGAGTTGTGGGCAGTTATCCTCCCAATACCCGGCCATACATACAGTGGCAGTGAATTTGAAGTAAACGCTTCCGCAAAATGTGGAGAACAGTTGAAACGATTCGCGCAAACGGTTCCGATTGGGGTCTTCGATGAGTGTCATGTCGTACTCACTGATGGCCACCACGAAGAGGAGGGCCCGCACGTCGTCGAAACATTGCGCCCACTTTCGCCGCTCCGACCGCTGCCCTCCCACGTCATACATACGGATGACCAGACTCTCCACTTTGAACTCGGTCTCCACCACGCCGTGGGTCCGCACCCGGGACCGCAACACATCCGTCGTGTTTGGTATGTATTTATCGGCTGTTATGCGAGTCATGTTCTCGAAGAAACTTTTTTGATATAATTTGTTTGTTATTTATTTGTATTGAATTTAATTAATTAGTAGATTAGCTAATATATGCTGTATTTATCTGTTCGGTACAGGAAATTGACACACAATTTATAATTTATATGTTTTGATAACAATTTTTTTTTGAAAATTCTTGAAATTCAATTTCCAGGCCTTCAGATAAAAACAGGAATAATATTATAATTATCGTAATGTGTATTAGAAATAAACTCCGAGTTTTGTATTAGCTTTTATTGGATGCTTTTTAATATGTATTTTAAATTACCCCAAAATGATATCGTTTAAAATATTTCCAAACATACAGTAGTAATGTACTGTACAATAATATATTGTATTTATAAATAAATATCCATTTCAAATGTACTTTAATTTAGTTCATAAATAAAATTTGATGCCTTATATAATATACTCAAAACATGTCTGAAAAATTGTTGTTATTTTTATTTTATTTATTTGTCACAGATATTCTCTCTCTCTCTCTCTCTCTCTCTCTCTCTCAGCGACAAAATGGCTTTTATGACTACTATAGCGTCACTGTANCTCTCTCTCTCTCTCTCTCTCTCTCTCTCTCTCTCTCTCTCTCTCTCTCTCTCTCTCTCTCTCTCTCTCTCTCTCCCCACAAACGTAAGTTATTATAAAACTAATCCATTAGAAAAACTCAATTTGTGCTCTAAATGGTTGCATATTTTATTCAAATACACATTCATTATTCACGTCTCGCAAACCCAATAGTAAAAGTATTTTTTCTACCATTCCTTCCCCACAAATACAATATTTATTTTTCTTAATCGAAAATCGGTTTCTAAACCATTAATGTAAAGAATAATTGAATTGCTAACTCGTGTGTTTAAATGTACAGAATATGTGTGTATGTATTCTGACATATATCAATATTATGTCGTGTATTGTGTCCAATAATGTGTAATTACTAATTAGTTTCCAATAATATACCCATAATATAAAATAATATGTAATTATTGATGAAACCACTTACTAAAGGGCCGAGTCGTTGAGCTCGTACTCGAAACCTCGGGCCACCCCTTCACGGATGCCCTTATCTTTCCAGAGACTCTTGAGAGCCGTCACCACATTTGGTATTAATGTTGTGAATTCATCGTAATATCGATTGCAATTCAGTATTTGTTGAGCAAATTCCTATCCATAAGAATACACAACATAATTGACACATCAATTATTTAAGACATTTTTCATTTTTTTCGTAAAGAAAGTATAGGCACATATCGTGCGATATGTACAGTAAGATGTATGGTATTAAAAATATGTGTGTATATTCTGGAAAAGGCATTAAAAATTCATTATCTCTTTACCTTATTGTCGGCGTTTTCATAGTTAATATTCAAGAATCGCATCCCAATGAGTACATACTTCATAGACGTCACCAAATTGTCCAAAATTGTCAACTAATTTCATATGTAATATTTTTTCGAGGCGAGAGAAACGACATTTTTAAATAATTTATCATTTTTTCAGATAATGTAATCATAGAGTTATGAACGTGTAGTTTATTATTACGAGTGCTCAACACTTAGATTTCAAAAAGTTTAATCTTCTTCTCGCTCACTCATTCTCTCTGATGTATTCAATGGGTCTCAGCATCCCATCCGTGTCTATAACTTGTCAGAGAGAGAGAGAGAGAGAGAGAATTTTGAAGGGAATAATTCATAGAGAGATTTAAAGAATGCAAAGAATATATAATATATATAAAATTAGAGAGAGAGAGAGAGAGAGAGAGAGAGAGAGAGAGAGAATTTTGAAGGGAATAATTCATAGAGAGATTTAAAGAATGCAAAGAATATATAATATATATAAAATGCTATCACATATATAACACTCTCTGCGTGTAATTTATAGGATTCTGTACCGAAATAACAGGCGTTTAAATTCTTTAATAATAGAGAGCGAGATATTTATTTAATATGTCATACAATGTGTTGTAAATGACAATCATTTGCATACGGCGTCTAAACGATGCACTCCTCTCACTATATATCGGCTTTAATTAAAGTGATTTGATTTATCCATACGTTTATTGATGCCATATCTGAGAGAAAATTGTCTATTCGTGCCTTTCGTGCAAATAATTATTGACAGATAAGTGTTTTAGTAGTGTATATACACAGTATATATCACAGTAATACATGTGCCGGCAATTTAACCACTGGTGTTTTTCTCTCTCTTTCTATGTCTGAAACCTCAGGGAATTCCTGAACTTTATTTTCACATCCGAAACAGAATTACTGTTGTTTTCATTATAGAGTTGAACCGAGAAATTTGATATTAATTTTTAATTAATGCCAATTTTATGGCTTTTCTCTCAAATGTTTTAATATAACTTTTACACGAAGTTTTGTATGAAAACTAATTATATAAATGGCACTATATTTTTGAAACAGAAAACAGACAAATGCTGGGATTTGAGAGAGAGAGAGAGAGAGAGAGAGAGAGAGAGAGAGAGAGAAATATACTCCCAAATTAAATTTATAATAAGATGTCCATTTAGTACTGGCTATAAATATAACAGTTAATTAGAAATAGTTTTCATCACAAAAATCAATAAAAAATTTAATATGTGTTTTGAGATATGAATTATTAATGTGTTTCAATAGTATAGAGGAAAGAGAATACTGTACTGTATTTGCTGTTATAAAATCTACTGAACGAAACGCTCCCTAAATAACAAATAATGTAATAATAATAATAAATAGATAAAGGAGTCTATTATGAAAGTCAAGAGTGAACTGAAGCACAGTATAGAGGGTATAGAAAAATGGTTTGGCACACAAAATAATGGCCAGACATTGATTTGATTTACGCTAATAGCGTAAACGCATAGCGCATACAATACACCACACATTCACTGAGACATCACACTTACCCTAAAGCCTCGCATCTCATCTTTGGTATAGCCATCATTATGAATGATCTTCATTTGTTTGACCAGGGTACTCTTGCCGGACTCGCCGGTGCCCAGTATTAATATCTTGATCACATTGCGCTCCTGTCGCTCCGCATCGGACAGTTGGCGATCAATCTCTTTGCTCCGTAACTGGCATTTCCGGCGCTCACTGTTGGCCACTGCGCTCAGACACGTACCCATCGCTCACATAGTAGTCATCAGCGCTGTTGCCATCATTGTATCCATCATTAAAACAGACAAACACTACAAACAATGCATACAAATCAATGTACAAATGTTTGTCACTCTTTCTCTCTGTGTTTTTTCTTCTTCTTTCAATCTCTTTGATTTGATTTCAGATATTTTTTTGTTTGCCTTTTGATTTGATTTAAGATTTGTTTTTTCGCTGTCTATTCACTATTCTTTCAACGTCTACAACAGATTTCAGACAACTGGCCGTTCAGTTGCCCAACAATAGAGAGAAGAAATAAAAAGCAAACAATTATTTGAATGTTTTTTATGATTTTCGTGTTATTTTCATTATATGTTTTATATATAAGTTTTTGTATTCATCTTAAAGTGTTTGTTTGAATTGAGGGGCAAATTGAATGAAAGGCCAGTCCGTGTAAAATACCCCCTCATGAGGACCAGTTATGGTCTGTGTTTGTGTTATGTATCGCATGTGAGTGTGTTTTTTGTCGATCGTATTATTAAAAACACATTTACTTGTTATGGACTTTTGAACCGACAAATGTTAACTCAATTGACTTTCTTCTATATATTCATTGAATATTTTGAGAAAATCTGTTTAATATTTTTTATTGAAAATTTATTTTATATAAAAGTTTAAGAAATATATAAAAGCGAAAAACTTTATTCCTAAACGTTTAGATCGATATTTAATTACTTTGTTTGAGAGAAAAAGAGTAATGATTTTGAGAGATAATCTCCAGATATAATCGGAATATGTTTTTCATTGTCTTTCTTTTGACATCACATGAAAACACATAAATATTCTTCTGTTTTAATGATTTGTATGGCTTTTATATTCATTAAAGAATGAGAATATAAATAATTAGCTAATGATAACAATCGCTATTTATAGCTAGATATACATGTTTAGTACAGTATAGGGAGTATTAGTGTTGGTATACATGATATGCATAATTAATATGAAATGTAATGCATTTTACATGTATCGGAATGTATAACAAAAAACATGTTTTTAATAATAAATGTTTTATTGAATTAAATTATTAATCGATAGAGAGATAGTATATATATTTTTTACGATTCCTAATAAAAGCCTGGTTTTAAAATATTCATTACATTCACTATAATATGATTATATTTTCGGAATATAATAATTAACAATAAATAAAACATGTCTATAAATGCTATACATATGTAGAGTATATTCTGTTTTGGAAAATATGAATAAATATAATTATTAGATATCAAAAACATATCTTACCTTCAAATACATCGATCACATATAAGTCGAGGCAACAAAACGTATAAATACTTATTTGGAGAGAAACGGTATGTAATGAGAGGCGAAAATCTCTTAATTCAGTGGTGTTTTAAGCGATGATAGCGTTTGAGGTGTTGTCTAAGCAAATGTTTTTGTGCCTCACTTTTAAATATCGTTGAGAGAGAAAATCGTTAAGAAAAACGCTTACAACCAAACACTGGGCTCTGGGTATGTGTGTTGAGTGAGTGTGACATCCAATGCCCCTCAAGTTATTTACCGTCAAAAGGCGAGTGAAAATTGCATGTTATGAGAGAGTGAGAGAGAGGGGGACTTGACTTTAAGACATAGACGGGGAGAGAGCGAGAGAGCAAACAAGAGAGTGCCAGAGAGGGGATCTGTGGCAGTGGTTATTGGGGGCCGAGATGTTACTGATTGGCCATAAACTGCATTGCCTTGACTTCATCTGGCTAGAGTTCACATTTTTTCACAACTCTCTCTCTCTCTCTCTCTCTCTCTCTCTCTCGCATTCATAAAAATTAAATGTGCATGTGTATATTAACTGAACCTAACATTTTATCAATAATTATATTGTTATTGCAGAATTTAGGAAATTAAATATTCTTTTCAAGTTGTATAGAAATAAATGATTACAACAATTAAGTTAATACCAAAACTATAATCATTTGTACACCGATTCAATAATAATGAGAATATTGATTAAAAGTTAGGTTTATTTTATTTATATACAGACAACCAAGTTAGGCAACCAAGTTCTCGTAAAAGATTTGCTTGAATCCTATGAGTTTGAATAATTTTTAGCATTGCTTTGCACATAAAAAATAATCAAGCTCTTATTAATAAAGGAAACATTGTAAACAATGCTTACTAAACATATTGTTACACATACTTACGCCGTACTATACCTAAAGTTAGACATACCTAAAGTCTTGAACTCAATTATAAAGTACTGATAGAATAACAGGTGCAGAAATTACATAGATTGTTATTGGGTTTTTATTTAATCCAGAATTAATTTAATAAGTATACAGTAATTTTATTAATCAAAAATTTAATTAAAAATTTAAATAATGATAAACATATTTAATTTAATTTATTGCTTAAGTCAATATTCTATGTCAATTGAAATCTTAATTGAATTCTTATAATAGCATTCTTATAAATTCTTTATTTAATTTTAATTATATATATATTTTTAATAAACGGATGAATATTTATCAGCAAAAGAAACACATTTAAAATTCACAAGTAATGAATTTCTGATAATATCTGGGTTTAGATTCTGTTTGCATAAAAGAAAAAGTATTGGAAATTTCAATTCATGAATATTATTGAATAGAAAAATGAAGGCAATTAATTATTGTTCAGTTATTGTCTTTTCAGTATTGATTCAATTATGTTATTCGTATACCGAAAGAAATTTAATATATAATGAATACATTAATAAAACTAAAAGTTTAGAAAATGTAAGCGTTTGGAGAGAGAATACATTATTAGAATTCGAGACCAATTTGAAGAAACTTCCGCAACATATTAAAGAGGAAATCATTAAACGGGCCGACAATGCCTTGAAGACAAAGTGGGGCACATTATTGGCCGCAACACAGTTGCAGTACTTGGTTGACGGCGACCGCTATACTTATCAGGGCTTTCTCAACGATAGGCGCAAAAAATTGATGAATTTAATTGTGGCACAAGTGCTCACTGGAGACAAAAAATATCTAAATGATATCGCGAATGGCATTTGGCTTATAATGGAGGAGAGTTCGTGGATATGGCCGGCGCACCTCTATCTCCAAAAGGCTGGACTTGGTTTACCCGACCCCAGACAGACTGTTATAGATCTCGGTGCTGGACAAACGTCCGCTTACATAGCGTGGGCGCAATTGTTTGTCGGTTTGTGCATTCTTTAAGAGTGTTAGTAAAAACTTTTTATTAAATTGTATTCACTTTTTTCAGGCAAACAATTGGCAAAAGTATCCCCTATTATATCGCAACGCATAGAATTTGAATTGAATCGACGAATAGTGCGGCCATATCTGGACGATCAACACATGCCATGGATGGGCTTCGATGGCTACGAGTTCTGCAGATGGAATGTCGGCAACAATTGGAACGCTTGGATTAATAGCAATATTATTATGACATCTTTCCTCAGTCTTAACGAGCCGTCGAGGAATGATATAATTAAAAGATCTGTTTTAAGCGCTGATATATTCACCAATAGATACCCAAACGATGGCGGAGATAATGAAGGGCCGCACTATTGGGCCGCTGCCGGCGGTCGACTCATTCAATTCTTAAGTCTCATGTCATCGGTGTCTGGAAATCAGATCAATTGGTCATCAAATCAATTATTGAAGAGAACGGGAGAGTATATCTATAGAGTGCATATTGACAAAGATCACTTTTTCAATTATGGCGATACACCGGCCCGAGAAATATACGACCCGTCGCTTGTACTTCAATACGGATTGATATTCAACGACAACCTAATGAAACAATTTGCCTCTTATTTGAATCATTTGAGGGGAAGTGAGGGAACGATTTCCAGTCGACTTCAAAGCGGGGAATTGAATCAGATATTCATCCAATTGTCGGCGAACACAAAGTTTGCAGAAATTACACCCAAAGCCCCGCAACCAATGGAGTCTTGGTTTCCGGACCTACAGGTCATCACATTGAGAACCAAAGAAGGATCGGCTGAAGGAATCTTTTTAGGAGCAAAAGCCGGTTCTAACTGTTAGTATTGAATGATTATTACAAAATATTTATTTATTCAATGGTAAATCTGATAATTTAGATGACACTCAACATAACCACAACGATGTCGGAAGTTTTGTTCTGTATGTCAATGGTTTGCCGGCATTGATAGACATAGGAGTCGGCACTTATACTATCGACACATTTAGTGATCACAGATATAATATATGGAATTTTCAGTCCCAATGGCATAACACCCCAACTATTAACGGCATTCAACAGCAATGCGGACCTCAATTTAAGGCACAATACGCTAAGTATACTAAATTGGAAAATGGAGGTGAGTTTGAGACCGATATCGCCGGCGCTTATCCTCCAGAAGCACAGGTCAAGAGTTGGATCAGGAAATGGACTTTTAATAGAAATACAAATACTGTTGTTCTGACCGAGAAATATGTTTTGAGTAAATTTATAAAGCCATCAAAAATGCATTTTATAACTACACTAAACCATAAGAATACAGAAAATGGTGAAATAGTTCTCGAAAATAAGAGCACAAAACTCTATATGAGTTACGATTCAATTCAAAACGACGTTGAAGTGGACCGACACGACACTCAAGATCCAAGTATTTCCGGTATTTGGGGTCAATATATCAATAGAGTGTCTTTAGTGACCAAATCAGAGGCACTTGAGGGAGAATTTGTGGTCAAATTTCATTTGTAATGCTATTTATTTTGACACATATTTGCAAAAATATTCACTAAATATGGTTTGATTTCGTAATGAATTAAAATATTACAGATTACTAAATGTCTTGTCATTAATATTTAATAATGTGCTAATAATAAAATGCTATCAGAGTATCAAAAACATAAAAACTAAATGTTTAGGTAATAAATGCATTACAATCTCGACTCGTTTGCATTATTTGAGTAATGTTCGCATGAGTTGTCGTCTTCACTCGTTTTATTACCGTTAATATAAGGCGAGGAATTGATTCTGATATGATATATACGAAGCATACGTTTAACAAGATTACCGAACTCTTCCATATCGAAAGCAAAGTCATCCGATTCTTCGGCGTCCACCACATGGTATGTGTTTAAGTCGGGTATATATACGCGCAACCGATTGCTATTGTCTAACGATATCTAACAGCATTTGGTGATTAAAGCAATTGTTAGATAGTAGTAACTTTTATAGCCAACACTTACCTGATTAGACACACAAACCGATTCAAAATCAATGCCTCCGAAAGCGTTCCCCTTTTGGTGTTCATCTTTAATGATTTCACTGATTGAATAACTAATTTCCAGTAAATGCTTTGGTTTAAGATCTTCTTCAGTATCCAAGAAATCAATGAGAGAGACATATCCGGGCGGGGGGTATGGTCTCATAAATTTGCCTTTCGGAGCACTGATACTCCTTTCAACAGCCTTTCCCTTTTGCTTGAATGACATATGAAATGATTTATTGGTAATTGAATCTCGTTTTGACTTAAATGTGAACAAAGAGATCGGAGATTGAGCTAAACTATAGATGATTGGGTTCGTCGCCGAGTTTACTGGGAAAACAAATACAGCCGTCCACGAATAGGCCGCACCTTCATATTACAATCATTTAATCAAACACTATATTTTAGTATTTTTGTAATTATGGTAAATGATTATTTTTGTTATGAATAAATACCTGGAATCGTAAATCCGGCCAAAGACATCATTCCCATCACAATCACTGGAAACCAACATATAAAATTGGTTATAACTATAAGTGCCATTTGTCGGCCAACCTATACATTCAAAATTGATTACTAGTAGACAATAAATGCTTACATTTACTTATAAATAACATCTGAATTTATTCTTGTTATTGTCAAATGGACACCATTTCAAATACAGTTGTGTTCTAACCTGTGTTTCTCTGACTTGTCTGGCCTTAAGTCTGTTCATTTTCTGTCGGGACAAACGTATGGTTTTATACATAAACAAATAGCAGCCGACGATTATAAGAAATGCCACTAAATTAATGCACAGAAATATAGCGACCGAATACTCCCAACCGTCGGGTTTATGAGGTGTGATGTGAAGGGCTAAACAGGTTCCCGAGCGGGCGTAGAATTTGCCGTTAAAATACGGTATCGGGAATAATGGCAAACCCGCTAACATTATCACAACAATCCACGATAAAGTGATGAGCCTAATGTGGATTAAAGGTTTTAACCACTATACAAAATGTAATTCAATTTACCTATATGTTAAACTCATTGTATATTTTCGCATTGAAAATGGAAAAGAAATGCAAATAAATCGGTCGACTGTTATGAAGACAAGTGTGGCCACCGATACTTCCGATGAGACTGTGGACAGGAATCCACAAAATTGACACAAAATACTGTGTTTCCAAACATCAGAATTCTCTATATATCGTCCCCTGAAATGAAAAAAAAACTAATAATTTGCCGTTAATTAAGGAATTCATTTAATACCTATAGAATTCATCGACCGATGCGATGATCATTAAGTAGATACCCATTAGGAAGTCGGCGCAACCCAACGATAGGATAAGTGTAGAGCTGACTGGGTTTGAATAGAGACGTGTCTGAAACCTCCATATAATGACAGCAGCGTTGGCCACGAGTGCCACCACTCCTAAAAACCACAGAATTACTCGTTGAACTAAATTAGACATTAAATCTTCGCAATCGGAGATCTCGTCCTGTGGCGGAAGGCATCTTATTTTCAATATAAATATTTTTAAAAAGTTTAATATAAAATTCATTAAACAATTTTAATATAGCAAATGTGCAGACCTTTCAAATGGTACAATATTAGCGGCTAAACAGCAAAACTTGAAGCTATCAGTTGACAGAAATCGTAAAGACTTGAGGGCGTGAAACACATCTTTAGGAAATACATGCAAATCATTGTCTCTAATGTCAAGCGATATCAAAGAAGTCAATTCATTAAACGCCCCCTTCTTTATAATCCTAACTCTATTTCGAGTGAAAATCAATGTTTGCAATGAAGACATTTGGAGGAAAACATTCTCTTCGAGAACCTCGACGTTAATGTTGGAGATATTGAGATGTCTGAGTGAAGTGAGTCCGACGAAAGCTCGCGGCTCTATAGCCGACAGATTCGGGTTTTCCTCCAATAGAAGATTAGTCACTCGCTTAAGACCGGCAAAAGCGGCCGATTCTAACACTTTTATGTTATTGAATCTCAGATCTAATTTATAAAGATTTGTCAATTGCAATCCGACAGATTCGGGTTTTCCTCCAATAGAAGATTAGTCACTCGCTTAAGACCGGCAAAAGCGGCCGATTCTAACACTTTTATGTTATTGAATCTCAGATCTAATTTATAAAGATTTGTCAATTGCAAAAATTTGCGTGATTTAATCACTTCTAAGCCATTGCTTTGGAGTATCAGCTCTCCTAAGTCGCCGAAGAAGCTAAAGTCCGCGTACGCCAGAGAGGGACCCAAACCATTATTAGTCAGCTCTAGCTTTCGAGTCTCTTTTGGGATGAATTCAATGGGAAGTCGAGTTAGATTAGCGTTTCTGCAGTCGACATACAGCCCAATGCAGGTGCAGTTGTCCGGACACGTGAGCTCACAGAACCATTCATCGTCGCCGAGAGGACAGTGACGGATACCATCGCACAGTTGGTGTAAAAGTACGCACGAGCTCTCATTGGCGCACTTGTACTGACCCGGACACATATAGCGAGCGCAACCGACCTCATCAGACCCGCCCACACAATCCCATTTACCTGAAGACAATCTAAATGTTAAACTAATGGCAAAAATTGCTAAAATGTCGTACCATTGCATATATAACGGGGAGGAATACAATAAGAGTCGGTACACTTGACATAGTCTGCGGGGCACTGATAAGACTCGCAATCTCTCAAATGGGAGACATCTCTGCAGCCGATCTGATACCCCAACTGATCGAATTCATAAATGCATTTATATTTCTGAGCAATCGTTT